GACGGCGCCCGGCCGGGACCGCTACGCCGAGGCCGTCGCGCGCCTCGCGACGGCCGGCGCGACGGCGGAGATGGTCCACGCCGTCTTCGAGCGCGACGGCGCCTGCGTCGCCGCCGCGCGGTCCTTCGTCCGCGTCGTCGGCGTCGGCGGCGCCGACCGGCGCGTGCTCGCGCTCGCGCACGTCGCGTCGTCGCCGCGGGCGCGCGGCCGGGGCCTCGGCGCCGCCGTCGTCCGCGCCGCCTGGGCGCGCCTCGGCGGCGGGCTCGACGACTGCGTCTTCTGCAGCGGCGTGCCGGCCTTCTACGAGCGGCTCGGCGCCGCGCCGCTCGCGCGCTGCGACGTCGAGTACCCGAGCGCGTCGAGCAAGCGCTTCGTCGACCCGACCATGCTCCGCGTCGCCACCGCGGAGGCCGAGCCCTGGCCGCCCGGCGCGACCATCCGCGCGAACGGCGACGGCTGGTGAGGGCGACCCCGGCACCGTCGCGAGTCGGGGCGGGCGCCGCCATCGCGGCGCGCGCGCGCCGAACGCCTCCCTCGCGCGTAACCCGGGGCACGACTCCAACGCGGCCCCGGCGGGGGCGGCGCGGCGTGTGCGGCCGCACAGGTCCGCTGCTGTGGGTCGCGTAACCCTTTGTCCGAAAAAATCGATGATGAACGCTGAAGAGATATTGAATGTCCAACATCTTGCTTCCTTCGTTATTGCCGTCGCAGCGCGATTAGGTCTTGCGGGATGGGCGCGTCTAAAGCAGCCCTGTTCGGGGTTTGGAGGTCGGTCCCACCTCGTGAGACCACGACCGTCGCCTGCGCACACATGTCGAATGTGTGAGTGTTGCGCTCTCACGAGGTGGGACCAACATCGTCACGTCGCGCGGGGGCAGCCTCGCCCCTCGGGCCACCTGATCCGGCGCCGGTGGGTCGCGAGGTCGGTCCCACCTCGTGGGACTGTCACGGAACCGTCCTCCATCGGGCGAGGGATGAGTCCGCGGCGGCGTTCTTCCCCACGGGGTGTTGTCGCTGCGCATGGGTGACGCCAGTCGACGGGATGCGCCGCGGCGTCCGAGCCCGACCAGGAGAGTTCGACGATGTCGAAGCTCTGCAACAAGCCCTTGCGACCGGACGCAACGGGGCTGTTGATGAACGATTCCCGACGCTGCGAGGGCTCTGAAACTAGCTTTATGGGGTCGCGAGGGGGCTGCGCGTCGCTTCCGAGCCATTGATCCCCCCCGTTTGAGTCGCCTCGCAATCGCCCGGACGTCGCGTTTTCACCGGTGCGTCCGCGTGATGCATGCGGAGCATAAAGCCAATGGCATGGTAGCTGCTACTGTGGAAGGGGCTGCGCTCTGGCACGATCTCCGCTGAAAACTCGTCCATGCTCTTCGAGCTTCGACGCCTTTTATCCACCGTCCGATCCGATATCTTGTCGTCCGAACGAGCGCAAACTACCTTACATTTATTTCTACTTATCAACATGTCGACGTTGCTTCACGTTGCGCGACCCACAACAGCTCGCAGAATCGAGAGCTCCTTGCACTCATCTTACCTCTACCAGGCCCCCGGTTCCCCCGAAGGGTCGGAGCCAACCCAGCCAACGTGCACAGGGGGACTTAGCTTCGCGCCCTAGCAGCCGAAGAAGGAGAGGCAGGGCGGGCCGAGGGCCGCGGGCGGCGGCGTCGCCGGCGCGGCGGGCGGCGCCTTGCCGTCCGCTGTCTTGGCGGAGTAGGACCGCTCGCGGGAGAGGGAGTCGCGGAGGTCGATGGGCTCGGCGGCCGCGGCCTCGGCGGCGCTGGCGCGGCCCGCGGGCGCCGTCGCGACGGACGTGAGGAGCGACGTGTCGCACGAAGACGCGACGGGCACGACGGACGCGGCCGTCAGCGACGACACGTGGCGGCCGTCGAAGGTCGACGCGCGCGCCTCGGAGGCCCGGGGGCTCTCGAGGTCCGCGCGGCCCCGGGCCCGCGCGGCCGCGAGGAGCGCGTCCGCCTTCGCGCCCTCGGCCCCGCCGGCGACGATCTTGAGGCTGTCGCTGTCGGCCCAGGTCGCACTCGAGTCGCGCTTCGCCTCGACCTGGACCTCGGCGATGGCCCGGAGCCAGGCGTCGCGGTCCTTGGGGCTCTCCGCGCGGAGCACGAAGCGCGCGTCCTCGTGCGGCAGCCGGAGCGAGAGCGTTTTGGCCTTCATGCGCGCGTCGCTGCCGACCTCGAGGAGCACGGGCCGCACGTCGACGGCGGCTAACAGCTCCTTGCGCTGGTCTGTCTTGTAGTACTTGAGGTAGGGGCCGCTGAGCACGAAGTAGCGCTTCTGGTAGCCGGCCATGGCGCCCCGGCTCAGCTTCTCGAGGTAGCCGTGCTTTTTAATGACGTGGAACGAGTCGGCGACGTGGTTCTTCGTCTCCTCGGCGATGGACGGGCGGTCGAGGTCCTTGCCCTTGTTCACGATGCCCCTCCCGGAGCGCTCCTTCTTGAGCATGGTCGACGTCGGTGGTGCGGGCTGCCTGTGGTTTGTTCTTTCGCCAGGGAGCAACGTTTTTCGGTGAATTGGGACTGGCCAATCATATCGCTCGAGACACTCTTCTCGCCCCGGCGACATCCCGCAGTGTACACGCGACGCCGCTTCGACGGCGCTACGGGCCCTGCTACCTAGGGCGCCGCGTCGGCGAAGGCGAAGGCCGCCGGGCCGAGGTCGAGGAGGCAGACGGGCGTCGGGCACCGCGTCGCGCCCCGCTTCGAGAGCGCGCCGGAGTCGGCGTCGACGGCGTAGGCGGTGATGGCGTTGTCGTCCTGGTTCGCGACGAGGAGGAGCTCGCCGCTCGGCCCGGCGAAGGCGAGCTCACGCGGCGTCAAACCGCCCGACGAGAGGTGGACGGCCGCGTCCGGCGCGCCCGCGGCGTCGAGGTCGAAGCGCGTCACGAGGCCGTCGACGCCGACGGCGCGGTTCGAGCAGAAGGCGAACCGGCCCGACGGGTGCACGACGAGCGCCGCGCACGTCGACGGCGGGCTCGCCGGCGGGCCGCCGCCGGCCGGGTAGCACGGGTCCGGCAGCGCGCGCGCGCTGGAGAAGGGCGCGCCGTCGCCGAGCGCGCGGCCGGAGCCGTCGACGCGGAACGCGCGGAGCACGGACGAGAGCTCGCAGAGCACGTAGAGC